CGCCAATGTTAAAAACGATTATGAGAATTTTACCAAGAGCTGCAATTCATAGGAATGTACAGCCGTTTAATATGAAAATTGGCCACAACTTTAAGAAGCGATAAAAAAATATGAATGGAAAACCCTTCGTAATGCAAAATATTTTGGATAGAAAACCAAGTGGTTTATGGGAAAAAAAGGCCGGATACCTTCTTAGATATACGCACTGAACTCTGGTCATTGTGATACATGTGTTAGAATTAATGATCGTTCTTTGAACAATTGGTGTGTAAATGTCAATTCTTGAAAATATCTCTGATTTAAACCATCTTTCATTTTTAACCCGCGAGCACACGCGGCGGGTATGTCATACCCATGTGCATTTTCCTTTTTGTATATTTCTCGCCCATTCTTTCATAAAAGGATGAAACTTGGTGTAGCTGAGTTCAAGGTAACATACTTAAATGGGGGAAATTCCTGAAGTGGCAAGTGCAATGGTTTTTTTTAGGACCAACATTGTTCGGGCATGTCATACCCGCGCGTGTACTGGCGTTTCTCAGTGAGTCACTTCGCAACTTCTCGTTTTCAAGCTTTTAGTATAAGTTTTTCTTGAGTTGTAAGCATGGGGCCGTATATTCCTTACGATGAAGAGATGAAAAGATTGAGAAATCTCCTTGAAACAGTTTTTTCTGATGAGGATTCATTTAATGAAGAAGAGGAAGATGTTGATGACGAAGAATATAATCAGTAATCATGATTCATCCGTATAGAGTAGTGATTCAGATACAGAAACAGAAAATGAAATTCTGGAATGTAGCAATGAGTTTTATGTTGGAAAAAATGGAGTAAAATGGAACAAAAATAAATTCCGGACTAATAATGTTAGAATTGGGGCCAAAAATATTATAACTAAACTCCCTGGAAATACAAAGTATTCTAAAGACGTCTCAACACCTCTAGAGTCCTTTTCATTGCTTATCGATGAAGATATTTTAAAACACGTAGTTGATAATACAAATATTTATATTGATTCAATACGAGAAAATTTAACTCGTGAACGGGATGAGTACTTTTCTCAAAGCCTTAGGGAGTTAGAAAGTGTTCAAAATGAACGACGCCGAGCATGTGGTTCCTGATTCTGGACGAACTCTGACCACCGATGAACATGTTAACAATGGACCGCCCTCCAAAAAACCTGAAATGACTTACAAGAGGTGTACAGAGTGCTCCAAGAAAACGATAGAAAGACTAGATTCATTTGTGAAAATTGTAGCAAAAGTATATATATGGAACATATGACCCCATTTTGTAAACAATGTTAAAAAAATTGTAAGTAAATAATTTTTCCTCTCCTTATTGTTTCCTATTTTATCTAAAATGAAGTATTAATTTGGTTTTACATTTTAATTTCTTTTAAAAAAACGATTAATTTTTTTCGGCAAATTTTTATTTACAATATTTTTATTCGGGTATGACATACCCGGCGCGTGTTCTCGTGTTCGTCGGATCGGTGCGTGTGCTCGCGGGTTAAAGTTTAAAATGTGTTCTTCTTATAGCAGTTTTCGTTCGTATCTACTCAATAAACTTAATTAATTTTAAATTTTAAATATTATGGCCTTAAACACAATTCTTTACTAAAATTAGTTTTGAAATTTCCCTTGACTAAGAAAGAATTAAGATGAGAAATACTTTTTTAACATCTGTATGAAATTCCAGAACTTTAGAACTTTTATCATTTGGATTCGAGACAATTTAGAATTTATCCCTCGTATAATGTTACGCCTCGCTCGATATGTTGAGTGAAAAAAAAGCTGAATGCTAAGGATTGAACCTTGTTTCGATTACTGTACATTAACAAAAATGTAATATAGAAACTGCTTCACCTACTTCAAGATTAGAACGTCTAACTAAAACTGCTAGTAAAAAAAAATGAACGTTACAAATATTACAAAACATTACAAGTAATTACAAATTATAATAAACATTACTAAAATTTAATACAGATTTAATATCTTTTTGAGTTCTGAAACCTTTTTGGCAAATCAAAAAAATATGAAAGAAGAAAATTGTGTCACGAATTCAGTATCACATTATGAATCGGATTAAAAATTTTAAGTTCTACTAACAACAAGCCCCTACTGATAATTAATAAATTCTTAATAAGTTATACTAACATTGTTAGTAGCAATTAATTGCTATTATCTATTTGCAAATTATTTGCATTTGGTAGTTCATAGTCTAATTTGCCAGACTCGCGCCTGCTAGATTATGCTTCCATTCCTCTAAGAAGTATTCACTGTTGACTTAGTCACGATGCTCTAGTTTCCTTGGCACTATCTATGAACAGCGTCATAAGAAAACGATTGCCGTAGTTAAGAGGAATAATTAGCTTTACGAATGTTAGCATTTTTGTTATCTTTTTTAATGTTATTGTGTGCACTGACATTATCTAATATTTTCAGTACGTAGCTTTCATTCCTAAAAGTACTTATCTAGCATTCTTATCTTTTTCTCTGCAATTTCCGAATTTTAAGTCTTTCACAAATTCTTATCTTTGTAGATATTATATATAATTACTTTGTGTTTAGTTTTTGTTTATATTTCATGTCCATCATTTCGTTTTGTTCTTTGCTTTTTAAATGCTTCTTCTAGCATTGCTAGGTCGTCACGTTTGGTTACTTATACCAGTAATCCTCCCTTACTAATTTTCTTAACGTTTTTATCTCCTACCTTCAATTTGATGGGGATTAGAGTTTTACTATTTTGTCTCTTAATTATTCTACGTACTATCCATCTTTGCCTAACCAGTAGAACATGTTCTTACCCTAGTCTTTTCGACTTATGCGAATTTGGTTTTTGTTGTTTCCATAATTATAATAAACTTAAAAGTTAAGCTTCCATAAAATTTTCTTTAAGTGATAATAATAACATTAATTGATAGAAATTTTGGTTGAAATAATTTTCATTATATTAAAGTTTATTATAATTTTCTATTGCTTCAGTTTTTGTTAATGACTTAATTTTTTCCTGAGATCGAGGGGATACAGAACAGCTATATGAATCATAATCACGCAGGAAAACATGATGGTAAATGAACAGATGGCGTTGTATATCAGCACTTCAGGTAGGCATCTGGTGTTTCCTTAGTAAAGCTTGTTAAGCTGTATAGAAAACAGGAAATATATGTGTACACGGGATGCACTTTATATATGGTTTAGGCTGGAGGTAGCTTACGAATTGCTGTAAAATTATATTGGGAAAGGTTCCCAATTAGATGTGTAAAACCGACAGCCATTTTATGTATGAACATCGCAAGGTCGCTACGTAGGAATTAACGCGGCAAGGCCATTGCGGACGAACACCGTTTCTTCAGACATGGCTTTAGTGTTAAGTATCGCCATCGCCGTTTTCAAATAGCCGCAAAACCTCAAGCAATTTTTAAAATATTCGGCAACCCATGCGGCATCACTGTCAAGCATGCGTCATTGCTATTGCATGGAATATTGGTTGCCTCTTATTAAATCGCCTTCTTTGTCTACTATTTGTTATAATATTAAAATTCTCCTCATAATGCACTTTAAACTACTATACCTTTCGTGTTCGTTCTGTATTTCAGGTCCATATCCTGAAATCGTCTCCTACTAGACTCTCCAGTATGACTATTGTTCACACCAATGTTCTCTATATCCCCTCAAAGGATATGCAGATTTTGATGCATCTTATATATATAGTGCACAATCTTAGATTTTTGTAACAAAGTGAAGGCTTGTTGAATTTTTCTCCATACTCCGTTTAAAAATCTTCTAACTTACATCCCCTTAAAATAATAGTTCCTAAAATCCAGCTTTATAGGCGAGATGATTATCCGTTGATCATTCGATTTAATATTGGGCAAGTAATATTTTTAGACGTAGATGAGTAAGCAATTCAAGGGAATCTGTTTAGGAACAAAATTTTACGATACATTTCAAATATGCCTCTTTATTTTTAAGAAAACGTTTACTTATTTTAGGCTCAGAATAATTTTGTGATCTTATTAGTAATTAACATCAGACTTTACTTTACATTCAACTTAAACTAGGAAACTGGAATTTTGCTTTATAAAATTTGATGTATATAGCTTATTAATAAAACCTTATTAATAAAAGCTTATGAATTAAAATTAAGTCTGCTTTATTTTACACATTATATTTGCAATACTGTTATGTAAAAAGCAATAAAACGCTGCATAGGAACAATAGATGTTCAATAAAACACAAACAAACTTAAAAAAGAACGCATTAACATGGTAATTTATAAAAGTTTCTCACTTTAAGTTCTAGCACGTTGATAAATATTGATACCTGCTGTTAAAATTGAAAACAATGTACAAAAGGCTGTTATATATTTTTCTAGAAAACGTTTATTATGTCAAAAATAAAAAAAAAAAAAAAAAAAAAAAATCAGCAGATTCAAAATGTCACATAGTTCTGATTTCAAGCATTTTCATTTTCTTATACATAGTAAATAAAAAAGACACTTTTAAAATATGTTAAGGAACGAAGACACTTTAAAAATACGTTAAATAGAAAAGATACTTTAAAAATATGTTTTCAAATGCTAAAATACAAGTAAATTTCACATACCTTTACACTTATTCCCCATATACAGGCTGAAACCAGGTGGACATTCACATATGTCTTCTCCTTTCTCGTTCAAAGCACATGTGCCGCCTATATGTGTGCAGCAAAAATTAAAAATAATTAGTTACATATATTAAATTTATATCTACGATATGAAAAGCTTCAAAATTTCAAACATTGAAAAAAACGTGTTAATAAGTTTCGCAAAATATCTACTGCAAAAATTAGCCACAAAAATATCTAAGTTGCTTGAAAGTTTTTTAGTTAATTTTCCACTTGCTTGAAAGGCTGATGAGGCTTTTCCTTATGAGCCCTACCTAGAAGACACGTTTCGAAGGCATATACCATTCCGCTAAAAGGAAGATGAACAGAACAAACTCAATGAAGACATGATAAAATATACACTACCTGGTCATTGCGATTGTTACACCAAGAAGAAAAGTAAGTATAAAAATCATATTTATTGTACTTACACAATATAATGGGTGGAAGATATGATTAATTTTGTAGATGGTTTAGGATGCACAGAGTGCAGAATTCAGTATAGAGATCTGCCGCATGTGTCAGTAAAGACGAGTGTCAGTAACGACATGGGTTTGGATATTAGATACGAGTGCTGCATTCTAAGCGAATTCATGTCTATGCCAGAGTTTGTCAATCTTACTTGCAACCGAATGGTTGCTTGTCCGTCCCATAGGAACTGACGATAAGGCGTTCTCATAGGGTAAGAAATTTTTAGAACGTACAGTAAGACCCCGCTTAACGTTGTTTCGTTTAGCGCTGTTTCGGTTTAGCGCTGTTTTATTTCAACCTCGGTCCCACCAGCGGCCGAGCGGTAAAATCGCTGAACACTGGTAGTTCGGTCCGAGGTTCGAATCCCGCGAACGGGCTGGCTGCATGGGCGTTTTCGTGGTTTTCCCCATGTGTAACGTGTATACGAGCCAGTTTCCCTTAGAAAGTCCTCCACGAAGGCATCCCTCCCCTTAGGCAGATAGCCCTAGTGTGCTTTGCCGTATTCTCAATACACCAATACACCAATATTTCAACCTCGGGATTCCCCGAAATTGCATGAACTACGGGGATTCCTCGAAATTGTGCTCAGCGGTAGGTTTCCAAATAAACATATCCGACACTGTGTAGTTATGTTTCTTGTTTGGTGCGGTGAGGTGCTGTACGGAAGCATTTTTATCATTTGAAACATTAGTTGACATTATTGTAAGTATAAATTTACATAATACTATAACGATTAATACAGTGACAAATATTATGATCTTTAGTTTTTATCATGGGTGATAATAAAAAACAAGAAAAGAAAGCAACCAGAAAAAGCATTTCACTGGAAACTAAAAAGCAAGTGATTAAAAAGATTAGATTCTGGTGAGAGTCAATCTCAAATTAGTGCTGCATTGAATTTGGCAACTTCAACAATAAGGACAATTCTTAAGAATAAAGAAAAAATACTGTCATCGGCAACTGCAACTACGTCGAGCTCTGCAACTAGAATTACCCGTTCTAGAAAAAACATTATAGAGGAAGTGGAAAAACGACTGTCTATATGGATTGACGACGAAATTGAACGCAATATGCCATTAAGCCAATCTATCATAATGCCTTCTTGAAAAAAAAAATGCAGAAAATTGGAAACATAGAATAGACTGAATGATCTGACTGGCTTAGAATTTTATTTGTTTTTATAAATATATTCGTTTATATTGTTTTTATTTTTGTAAGAAATAAATGTTTGGTTTTATTTTTATTAAAAAAACATTATTAAATTTAATACCTAAACAATTTTCTAATTTACATGTTAAGATAGCCTAGTTTAGCGCTGTTTCGCCTTACGCTCTACTTTGATGAAACAGATCCCCCGCGTTAAGCGGGGTCTTACTTAAGCGGGGTGGGGGTACTTTCCAAAGTAATAATCGAATACCCTAGCATCGATGAAAATCCGAACAGCACGGGCAACATATTGTATTGCATTATCTTGTTGAAAGATGGCGTCACGCAAGCTCGATGATAGAGCACAGCTACTGGCAGTAATACAGCAGAAATGTGAGGGCGGCTTTCAGGAGGTGCACAGGATGGATGTGCACCCCATACCAGCTCGCCAAACGCTAGGCCTATATGATGATGACGATTGTAAGCTCCTTGGTGTCTCCACACAGAGATACATCAATCATTATGCTATGCGCAGAACCGATATTCGTCCAAAACGACAGCGTAGAAAGAAACATTCTTGTGTCCAATATCACACCATTGTAGGCCTGTTTGTCTCTGACTCTGATGCAGAGTCAAGCTAAACTGCCAAAATAGTCACTGTGTTGACAGTCAGTTTAATGCTGCAGATGTCGTTCTATTGTTCTTGCGGATACCTGTAGTCCTGTACACGAGCTAATGATTCGTGCCATTGATGGGCCCACTTTATTTGTGAATTGCTTCAATTGGAGCTGTGAGGTTTTATATCTTCGAACGGTCAATATGGAACGGTGAATATATTTCCAAGACTCAGGAAATCCAGCTACTTGTTTTGCTTGGAGAAAAGGCTCCTGAATTAGCAGAAAGTATGCATCTTCCTCCATAGCAAACATGACCCGTTGTGCCGTGACAGCTCTCGCTCTCTGCTGATTGATTTGAATTATTTTAATTTCGTCAGGCTTCTCAATGTGGGAATTGATGTCCTGCTCTGTCAGCAAATCAGGCTGGATATTGACATAATGCTAAGTATTGAGAAGAAGTGAGTAGACGGAACTGTTGAATAGATGGAATGATGTAGCTTTGACTTTTTGGATGCTAGTTCTTGATGCTGATATATATGGGAGCCGTTAAACGATTTTGTCTCAGTATACTGTTCGGGCTTGGACTTTTAGTATCTACGCATGGGCCATACAATTTTCGAATTCGTCAGAGGACTAGGACTTTCAAGGTCGAGAGTGTCAGGAGTATACCGAGAATATAAGGATGGGGAGAAAAAACTAGCGATCGTGCAAATTGGTTTGGTTTTGGTTTATTTAATTATGGCAAAGTACACTAGGGTTATCTGCCTAAGGGGAGCGGTGCCTTCGTGGAGGACTTTCTAAAGGAAACTGACTCGTATAACACGTTACATATGGGGGAAACCACGCCCATGCAACCATCCCGTTCATGGGATTCGAAACTCGGACCGAACTACCAGTGTTCAGTGACTTTACCGCTCGGCCGCTGGTGGGCCCGTGCAAATTGCAAAGTACAATTAGCCTTGAATGAACGTGGTGTGAGACGTTTCTGCCGTATTGCACATAGCCAGCAAAGCCAAACATTAACTCGAATTAACCATCCAGCTGTAACAGGGAGCCAGTGACGATCGGTAAACAGTAAACGGATCGTGCATCACTCGCTAAGCCGTAGAGCCAGGAGAGGACCACATTGCTCAATGCATACCATTGAGCTATACGTCTTGCCTGGGTAAAAGCACACAGAGAATGGACACAGGACAGGAAACGAGTAGCATGGAGTGATGAAGTCACGATTCCGACTTCTTAACACCGACGAGAGGCTGAGAATATGGTATCAGGCTCATGAAGCTATGGATCCTGTATGTCAGTTTAGAATTGTACAAGTCCACGGTGGCTCAGAAATGGTCTGGGGTGTTTGATTTTAGCAGTGTTTGAGAACCTCGGTCCTTGTATCAACGTCGTTCAATATGATTCAGTATTAGAGTTGCTGGGCGATCAATCCCATCCATTTTTTTCTTGTCATTCTCACTGATTCCATTATTGTCCTGTCATTCTCATCAGAACATACCAGCAAGATAAATGCACCTCTCACAAGTCCTAGTTGGCTACTGCCTGGTTGGAGGGCATTCCTTTTACTTCTATGTGTCATGAACTGGCTACCAAGAAGCTCTTACATAAATCCTACACCTAAAGGTGCAAAACCACACTACACAACACTAGCGAACCTTACTGAATTATGGACGTCACTATTCGATGTTTGGTAAGCCGTTCCCTCAGAAAGCGTCCACAAACTTTTTGAATTTATGACTAGTCGTTTGGCAGCTATTATTAAGGGCAGAGGAGGTCAAACTCGTTATTCACATGCTATTCCTAATTTAGTGGTACTTCCGTGCATTTTGTTTCCTAACACCAAAACACTCTACTTATCTTTATTAAGCTTAAACGCGCATTATCCGCTCCCTTATTACAGCCCTGGGAATATAGAATTTGGCAAATAATGTCATGAAAGGCAGTCTTGCCAACATTATCATACTTGATACGGGCATAAAATTATTCTCGGTCCAAATGACCTCGAAATCTATTATTTGCATTTTTATCGGAAGACTGATGTTTAATTTGTACATGACCTATCGTATTTTAATGCAGTCCAGTAAAACAAGCTGTTTATAGCTAGAAGACTTAAACAATATCCTTTTGTGCTAAATTCGTTTCTCGCTGACATTCCGTAACATTTTATATTAGAACGGGACATATTATAGGGCTAGCTTTAGATTTCGGCACTGAAATATTTATACAAAACACTATCCAGTTGTTTAAGCATAGGTGTTTCAAAATTTTCTGATTTTCTGAGTACCAGTGCTTCTAAATGTGCCAGATTTAGGTAGGATATTAGTAATCTTACGTTGTCTACAATTATAGCTATTAAATCTCATATCCTACATCCAGTATTATACTTATATTTTTTTATTTTAATAAAATTTAGGTTTTACTGGAATTTTGAATTCAAATACTTCTATTTCCTCCTTTATCAAAGTTTGAAATACTTCAAATAAATGAATATAAAGACATGTATTGCTGTGTATAGATTTGAAACTTTAAGCAATGAACTTCTAAGGTTTATTTCCTTCGTTTAACCAGGTATTTTATGCAAGGAATCTTTGCTATTACTTTTCTCTTGCCGTTTTGCCGCCGGAATGCGAACTATCTCGCGTGTATTTAAGTGGACGTTTGAGACTGTGACGTTCGTGTTTTGCCTCGTGGTAGCCACGTTCCTAAGGACGCTATTCTGAGGTAAAAGTTTCAGTCTTAATCCTTCCATTATAGTTACCGATAGCATGTCACGCCGGTGAAGTTTATTTCCAGTGAGTCAATTTCGCA